CTTTCACTTTCATCAAGAGGCTTTTTAGTTCCTCTTCACTTTCTGCCATAAGGGTGGTGTCATCTGCATATCTGAGGTTATTGATATTTCTCCTGGCAATCTTGATTCCAGCTTGTGCTTCTTCCAGCCCAGCATTTCTCACGATGTACTGTGCATATAAGTCAAATAAGCAGGGTGACAATATACAGCCTTGATGTATTCCTTTTCCTATTTGGAACCAGTCTGTAAAGTAGGGTAGATATTGTCAAAAAGATTTTTGCCTTGTGAGAGGTCACCTCTTCTTAAGTCCTTTGAATGGAGAAATCAGATTTTCTTGGGGTTATTTTCTGCCTTCATCTGTTGGCATTTCTTGGTTGCAGACTTTCTAGACCACTCCCCACCTCCCCCCAGGAACTTACCACAGTACGAGTCCTAAAATTCTGAGGACTCTAGCTACTCTGCCTTCTTCTCCCCACCTTTCAGACTCTGCTTCTATTTGTGTTCTATATTGTGCCTAGATATTTTGGTTATGCTACGCAGGAGCAATAGGGTGAAATGCATCTACTCTATCTGTACCAAACTAAAAGTCCTACTTTCATGAAAAGAAACAAAAATAATACAGTAGCTGGACTATAAGATCTTTAAAGTTTCTCTCTCTTTTGATTTCTCTAAGCTATTGTTTTAAAATGATAAAGGTGATGGTGACTCTATAAATAGAAGAGTTGAAGAGGGATAACTTTTTTTTTTTCCCTAGCAGTGACTGTGTAGGGAGGATACCTTGGCTTTTTGAGGCAGCAGGTATGTTGCTTTGAGTAAATTGGTGTTAGCTTTTGCCTTGAGCTGGTAGACTTAGGATATGAAATGGGGCCTGCAGAGTTCCTGACCAGACTGATGTTTTACGTCCCTTTTGAGGGCTATACAATTAACAGAGCAGCAGTAGCTTCCTCCTTATTAATGGGAGTGCATGATCTCTCTGGTACTGGTATTTAACATCTCACATGCTTACGCTATATTTTCTTAAGTTGGCTAATGCTCTATGAGAGCAAGAATTAGCTCCTCTACTTCCTGTGATCCCTACAGGTGCTTAGTAAAAGGTCTTACACACTGTAGAAGCTCATAAATATCTGAAAGGACTACTTTTTCTGCTGTGAGTCGGGGTGACTTGAGTTGCTTCTAATGTGCAGCCAACTACTTTTAGACCTTGAAGACTAGGCTACAGATTATGAGAGACAGCATCTTCCAGGGCAGTCCTGTCTGCAAAATTTTTTTAAATTGAAATATAGTTTGTGCACAATGTTGTATTAGTTTCAGGTGTATAGCAAAGTGATTCAGTTATATGTATATACATACACACTCACTTTTAGATTATTTTCCATGATAGGTTATTACAAGATATTGAATCTGGTTCCCTCTGCTATACAGTAGGTCCTTGTTGGGTGTCTACTCCATATATAGTAGTGTATGTATATTTTAATATCAAATTCCTGATTTATCTCTCTCTTTCCTCTTTGGTAACCATAAGTTTGTTTTCTATGTCTGTGAGTCTATTTCTGTTTTGTAAATAAGTTCATTTGTATCATTTTTAAAGATTCCATATGTCGGTGATACCATCTGATATTTGTCTTTCTCTGCCTGGCTTATTTCACTTAGTATGATAATCTCTAGGTCCATCCATGTTTCTATAAATGGCATTATTCATTCTTTTTTATGGCTGAATAACATTCTGTCAAGTATATATACCACATCTTCCTTATCTATTCACCTGGCAAGGGACACTTAGCTTTTCTCCTAGGCCTGGAAGCAGAGTGAGCGGGATGCGGGGAAAGCGGGCTATTGTCCAAGTCTTAGCTATTGTAAATAGTGCTGCTATGAACATTGGGATGCGTGTATCTTTTCAAATTATAGTTTTTGCTGGATATATGCCCAGGAATGGGATCATTGGATCGTGCAATAATTCCATGTTTACTTTTTAAAGGAAGCTCCACACTGTTCTCCATAGTGGCTGTACTAATTTACATTCCCACCAACACTGTAAAAAATTCCTTTTTCTTCACTGACCCCAGCATTTATTATTTGTAGAATTTTTGATGATGGCCATTCTGATTGGTGTGAGGTGAAACCTCCTGGTAGTTTTGATTCGTATTCTTTAATAATTAGTGATGTTGAGCACCTTTTCATGTGCCTGTTGACCATCAGTATGTCTACTTGGGAGAAATGTCTGATTAGATCTTCTGCCCAGTTTTTTGATTGGGCTGTTTTTTTTTTCTTTTCTGATATTGACCTGTATGAGCTGTTTGTATATTTTGGAAATTAATCCCTTGTTGGTCGCATAGTTTGCAAATACTTCCTCACAGTCTGTAGGTTATTTTTTTTGTTTGTTTATGGTTTCCTTTGCTGTGCAAAAGCTTTTAAGTTCAGTTAGGTCCCATTTTTGTTTACATTTGTTTTTATTTCCATTACTCTAGGAGATGGTTAAAACTCAACATTAAAAAAACTAAGATCATGGCATCCAGTCCCATCACTTTCTGGCAAATAGACGGAAAAACAATGGAAACNATTAATACTTTTGAACTATGGTGTTGGAGAAGACTCTCCAGAGTCCCTTGGACTGCAAGGAGATCCAACCAATCTATCCTAAAGTAAATCAGTCTTGAATATTCATTGGAAGGACTGATGCTGAAGCTGAAACTCCAATACTTTGGCCACCTGATGCAAAGAACTGACTCACTGGAAAAGACCCTGATGCTGGGAAAAACTGAAGGCAGGATGAGAAGGAGATGACAGAGGATGAGATGGTTGGATGGCATCACTGATTTGATGGACATGAGTTTCAGCAAGCTCTGGGAGTTGGTGATGGACAGGGAAGCCTGGAGTGCTGCGCTCCATGGGGATCACAAAAGTCGAACACAACTGAGCAACTGAACTGAACTGAGGAGATGGTTCCAAAAAAAGATTATTGAGATTTATGTCAAAGAGGGTTCTGCCTATATTTTCCTAAGAGTTTTAGAGTACCCAGTCTTACATTTAGATCTTTAATCAATTTTGAGTTTATTTTTGTATATGATGTTAGAGAATGTTCTAGTTTCATTATTTCACATGTAGCTGTCCAGTTTTCCCAGCACCACACTTGTTGAAGAGACTGTCTCTTCTCCACTGTATATTCTTCCCTCCATTGTTGTAGATTGTGTGCATGCTCAATGCAAATGGAATTATTTTATTCTTTTCTATAGCTGAGTAATATTCCATCACACACACATATATATATGTGATATATATATATATATGATATATATATATGAGATATATATATGTGAGATAAAACATCTTCTTTATCCATTGTTCTGTCAATGGACACTTAGGTTGCTTCCAAATCTTAGCTATTGTAAATAGTGCTGACTCTTTGCAACCCTTTGGACTGTGGCCTGCCAGGCTCCCCTGTCCATGAGATTTTTCAAGTTAAATTTTATCAAAAGCCTTTTTCTGTATCTATTGAAATGATCATATGGCTTTTATTCTTCAACTTGTTAATGTGGTGTATCACATTGTTTGACTTATAGATATTGAAAAATTCTTGCATTCCTGAGATAAGTCTCACTTGATTGTGGCATATGATCCTTTTAATATATTGTTGGAGTTGGTTTGCTAGTATTTTGTTGAGGAATTTTGCATCTATGTTCATTAGTGATACTGAGCTATAATTTTTTTTTGGTGATATCTTGGTTTGGTTTTGATATTAGGGTGATGGTGGCCTCAGAGAATGGGTTCAGAAGTATTCTTTCCTCTGCAGTTTTTTGGAATCGTTGGGCTTCTCTTGTGGCTCAGCTGGTAAAGAATCTGCCTGCAATGTGGGAGACCTGGGTTCGACCCCTGGGTTGGAAAGATCCCCTGGAGAAGGGAATGGCTACCCACTCCAGTATTCTGGCCTGGAGAATTCTATGGACTGTGTAGACCATGGAGTCACAAAGAGTGGGATACGACTGAGCACCTTTCACTTTTCAGAGGTATAGGTGTTAACTCTTCTCTGAATGTTTTGTAGAATTCACCTGTGAAGATATCTGGTCCTGGACTTCTGTTTGTTGGGAGTTTTAAAATTACTGATCCAATTTCAGTACTGGTAATCGGTCTGTTGATATTTTCTACTTCTTCTTGGTTCAGTCTTCAGAGATTATACCTTTCTAAGAATTTTTCCAGTTTTCTTGAGGTTGTCCATTTTATTGGCATATCATTACCCATAGTAGTCTCTTATGATCTCTCCCCCCCAAATTTTCCTTACTTAAAATTAAAAAAAAAAAGTATTTATTTGGCTGCATTCAGTCTTCAACTGTGATGCATGTGGCCTGAGGGATCTACGAGGGATGGGACCTGAGTCCCTTGCATTGCAAGGCAGAGTCATAATCACTGGACCACTAGGGAAGTCCCTCCTGCGATGTCTTGTATTTCTGTGGTGTCAGTTGTAACTTCTCCTTTTTCATTTCTGATTTTATTGATTTGGGCTCTTTTTTTTTTTCTCTGTGAGTTTGGTTAAAGGTTTATGAATTTTGTTCTTTTCAAAGAACCAACTTTTAGTTTCATTGATCTTTTCTTTTAGTTTTTATTTCATTTATTTCTGCTCTGATCTGTATAATTTCTTTCCTTCTACCATCTTCGGATTTTCGTTGTTCTTTCTCTAGTTGCTTTGGGAATAGGGCAGCCTTGTCTTAAAATAAAAAAATCACTGGGCTCAAGGAAGAGACCCATGATTGCTACCGAACCTACCGGGGACCGTTTACTGAAGTCTGTTCCCAGGATTTTTGTGCTTTGGGATCACTTCATGATTTTACGCCATAAATCATATAATTCATGTCTTTGGTCCTTGGTGGACAGCCGTTCTTCCCTCCCCTGCTGACTGTCACCTAACCACCCACTCTCCCCCAACAGAATATTGTTGCATGAATGTCCCTGTGGATGAATGGATGGAGAAAAGGAGAATGGGATGGAACGAATGAACTTAGAAGCTGCAAAGATGCCTGGAAATGCAGAAATTCTCATGAATTGCAAATTTATTGACTGAGAAGGTACTGGGATTGGGAGGCAGTTGTATAGAAACCAGGGAGGGAAAACTGCAGAACCAGACACAGCTCTATTGTTCAGTGGCTTCTTCTGGCGGATTCAGATGTGAAGGGCGGAGAAACCTCAGGGCAATATCATGAGAGCGGTAAGCCCATCGACGCCCACGGAGAACACCTCCAGCTTCTTCGTCTCCGTGGTGTCCAGGGGGGCCTTACTTGCCTGGCCAGGTAGGCGCCTGCTTCTGCTGGGTCTGGTGGCAGACTGGGACACCCTTGCCACCCCCGGAACCACCCCCGGAGGAGCCGCCGCCGCCGCATCCGGCACCACTGCCGCCCCCACCGCTAGAGAAGCAGCCGCCGCCGCCCCCGGAGGAGCCTCCCACGCAGCCGGATCCACTGCCGCCCCCACCGCTGGAAATGCAGCCGCCACCGCTGGAAACGCAGCCGCCGCCCCCGGAGGAACCGCCGCCGCAGCCGGCGCCGGATGAGCCCCCTCCGTAGCTCTGCTGGGGCAAGCACGGGGTCTGGGAGGTCTGAGAGGACGAGAAGTATCCGGAGCCGCCCCCGGAGGAGATGCCGCCGCAGCCGGAGCCGCCCCCGGAGATGATGCCGCAGCCGGAGCCGCCCCCGGAGATGATGCCGCCGCAGCCGGAGCCGCCCCCGGAGATGATGCCGCCGCAGCCGGAGTCGCCCCCGCTAGAGACGCCCCCGTAGCTCTGGCACTGGACCTGCTGGCCGGAGGAGCCGCCGCCGCCGCCGCTGGAGTAGCAGCCGCCCCCGGAGGAGCCGCCGCCGCTGGAGTAGCAGCCGCCCCCGGAGCCGCCGCCGCCGCCGCTGGAGTAGCAGACGGTACTGGAGGAGCCGCCGCCGGAGTAGCCTCCGCAGCCGGAGCTGCCGCCGCCTCCAGAATACTTGACACTTCCACCAGAGCCACCGCCGCCGCCGCCAGAGTAGCCGCCGCCGCAGCCGGAGCTGCCGCCGCCTCCAGAATACTTGACACTTCCACCCGAGCCGCCGCCGCCGCCCCCGGAGCCGCCGCAGCTACCGGAGCCACCGCCGCCGCCGCTGTAGAAGACGCCGCCGCAGCCGCCGCCGCCGCCGCCGGAGGTTTTCCCACAGCCCACTGGGGGCTGAGGAGTGGGCTGCTTTTTCTGGTGAGACATCTTGTCTAAGGAGGAACGGAGCCCTGGAAGGAGAGCAGAGAGCATCAGTGGACCAGCTGCAAGAGGATGCGGCGGCAGAGACAGCCGCATCCATGGAAACGTCCATCATCCTCTGAGCAGCACTGCCTCGGCCAGGCTTGATGCTCTTTCTGATCGGATTGGAAAGAGCACTTAGCTGGGACTCCTGGATTAGTGCTTTTAGAAAAGGGTTGTGTTTCCCCTGCAAAAGTCTTTACCAAGTTTTAAATAGCCCACTTAGTGGTACCCATTTTTCTTTCTTTCCCAGCTTTGCTTCAGGCCTCTGCTTTGTGATCTCTGGGCAAATGACCCACACATTTTCTGTTTCCTCATTTCCTGTAAAATGAGATGGGTCGAGTATTTCACTTTTTAGTTCTCCGATCCCAACACTGAATGCAAATGGAAAATTACCACAAACCTCCACCTAGGGTAGGGGATTTTATCCACTCCTGGCACAATAGAGGGTGGTTTGTTCCAGTGCCAGAGGGCTGTTGCACCCCATTCTTTGCAAAAAAGAATTAGTTTAAACTCTTGGTCTGTTCCACTGACCTCAGCCATGATCACCTACCAGTTACCAGAAAAGACAGGCTCCCCCCATTGTCCTGTCTGAAAACAGGAGAAAGGATCCCAATGATCCTTTGGACCAGCATCTCTGACTAGGAGATATCAAGCAAAGCTTGGTAAGGAGGCAAGCTGGGTTGAGGGGACCAAACTTGCAGGAATTATGTCCAGCATCTCACAAGTCATTTCCTTTTCAGAACATCTTGTGTAAAACAGGCAATGGGTTCTTATGACTGCTAAAATCTCCCCATCTGCAGCATCCTCTGAATCATTCTTCCTGTTCTCTGAAAGTACTCTCAACCTCTCCTCCTTACAAGTTCACAAAGTCCATCCAGTCTATCCACAGGCTGTCTGGGACAGTCTCTGCAGAATGCACTTCTATGGTAGAGACAGGGCATGTCTCTTACAGGGGTGCCAGAGAGACAGGAGATAGTCTCGTCTTTGTGGTATTTACATTTTGGCCAGATCAGAAACACCATCTGTCCAGCAGTAGCTCAGCTCCGCTTCCTGCCTGAAGCCCCTCTGAATATGAATGCAGTTGGAAGAGCAGAGGTCCCGTAGGTCCCAAAGGGGAAAGAGGCCTTGCCCACCTGTCCCTTAGTCCACATAGCCCACGCAAGCCTGGGCAAGACCAACTTGGAAGATGAGAGCCAGTTGAACACACACTTACCCAAAGCACCAGGAAGGATGAGTGAGGAGAGGAGATGCTGGCTGTGTGAGGACAACTGGAGCTTCTGAGGTTTTATACTTTCTGATGAGTTCTGACTCATCAGCCATTGATCTGGACCAGCCTTTCATGGACTCAGTTACGTGACCTTTGCCTGTCACCCCACCTCCCTGTGATTATAGTCATGGGGTGACCCATTCATGAAGATTTTGGCATTCTTGAGATGGGCAGCCTCCTGTATGACTGGCTCCTTCTCTGATGCAACTGTGAAGTAGGCTGGCTAGCAGGGATGGTCAGCCAGAGTGGATGTTAGGCATTGTTTTCAAAACGTCTGGCATGGGGCCCATGCCATCACCAGAGGGTTGTGCTTCAGGATAGGTCTCAGACTCTTCAAGCAACCTAAGAGAGTCCCACTGGAGTTCTCAGTCTTTGGTCCAAGAAGTAGAAACTTCCATATCCCACTCTTTGGCTCCTGGTCCTATTGCTTGGAACCTCTTAGAATTTTAGAGAGATCTGTTGGAGAAAAGCATGTTTCTTCTTTGCCAAGTTTCTCCCCCGGGGTTTCACATGTGCTTCACTGGGATGTTCCTGTCTTTTTTCCTGTCTAGAGAGAGTGTGTTAGCACCTAGCACCCAGTTCTGGGTTGCACAACATGGACAGCGCCATAAGTAGTGGGGCACTGGTAGCAATTTTGATTTACTCCTAAAGACAATGAATGTCTAAAAATACTGATCTTCACTATTGACTTTCCTTGTAGAAGAATAAGCTAAAGAGATAGGCCCTGTGGTTGTTCCCACCATGGCCATTCAGCTCTGGGGTCTTGTATTGTGTGGTAACACTGACCTCAGTCTAAGAGGCAGCTGTGGAATGGAATGGACTTGAGATTAGGTGCCTGGATTTGGGTGCTGCCTCTGCTCCTTGCCAGGTGTATCACCTTGGGTGAAGTCACAGTACCTTATGCAGTGCCTACACACTGGAGGTGCTTAGTAAGCATTTGTTGATTATTGAACAAACTTTCTGATACTCAGTTACCTTGTCTATCAAATAAGAATGGTAGTAGTTGTTTTACTGTCGCTGCGAGGGAGTCCACAGATGGCTTGAGGCAAGCTCTTATCTAGGAAAATAACTTGGAAATTCCTGGCTGACCCTGGACCAGTAGCATCAACTCTGTGTATGAGGAACAGCATTTTGTCCTCTTCTTTCATCATTGGAACTCAACTGCTGTTGTTTTAGGTACCACATTTGAAGTTAGTTCCACCCAGATGTGTGTTGAAATGAGAGCTCCAATAATAAATTGATGGTTAATTATGGTGGAGTTTTAATGATCTGCATGATCTGATTAGACTGTGGCCTTCAGAAACTTGTGGCACTAGTTTTAGTTTGGAGAGCATGAACCCAGGTGAACCCAGGAGGAGCCCAGGTGCTCCCCTCCTGAGAGAATGGCCAGGAGGGAGAAGTCCAGCTCTGTTGGGAAAGCATGTTTCAACTTGGAGCTGAGGCATCATGGAGATTTTAGAGGGGAAAAAAGGCTCCAACTAGCTGTGGGTATAATAAAAGACGCATAATAAAGGACAGCTTTATTTTGCTGGGTTCGCTGGAGAAGAGGAGAAGATGTGGACCATGGTTCCCATACTGATCTGTGGACCCATGTTGGCTCGTTATTGTGTGTACCCTAGTCCTTAGGAAAATGTAAGTAAAGAGATGTCAGCAGACTCTTTGTGAGAAGGAAAGTCTAATTCAGAAATCATGAGCCTCCTACCTTTTTTGGGCGTCTATTAAGACTTCATTTCTTTTAAAAGTGATGTTGACAAGAGGTCCAAGTTGTTTCTTTCACGTCCTTATTTATCAAAATGAGAGTTTGGCTATCATATTATTTGGTTATCACAGTTTTTTTGAGGGAGATGTTACTTCTTTATGAAATTCTTAAGTTTGGGAACCTCAGGTGCAGGTGACTCCAAAGAGCTAATAATCTTGAAATTGCCTGTATTAGTTTGGAGCAATTATATTCTTATAGGAAAGATACGATATTTTCTTTCTATCAGATTTAATATCCTAGTGCTTTATTCATTAATCCAGACAACTGTTTTGCCAAAAGCTTCAACTTTTGTTTCAGGTTTGAAAGATTTGTTAACAAAAGAAACTACTTGTTAAACAAAAATAAACAATTTCAGTATTTAATAGAGAATTATCTAACTTACTTTCAATATGCAATCATTAAAAGAAAAAAAAAAAGAAACACTAGAGGAATGTAATAGCACATACATCACCTAACTGGGACCAAATAGCACCCAGATTCAAACAGCGCTGGGAAGTCCCACGTAACAGCAATCTGGAGTCTCAGTTGGAAAAAGATACTGGATGGTACATCCACCCTAAAGGGTGAGACTTCAAAATTGCAATTTTTGGGGTCCTGCATATAATTTCAGGCCACAAACTGATACTGTCATCAGTTTGTGAACAAATTGCAGCTCTGGTTTCACATTAATCTTTTTTTTTTTTTTTAACAATACTGTTTGTTTTATCTTGTGAGTCAGAGGATTATGTTAAGCCCCGGGCGTGGTTGGCCAGACCTCCTCCAGGGGCTCAAGAATTCTAAGACCTGCTCTCTGTCTTTTCTATATTGCCACTGGTTTTACTAGAAAAAATCGGTACGCTCATGAGCAGACATGTAGTCAGGGCAAGGTCAGAAGCAAGGTCAGAGTTCTGCTCTGCGTTCTTGTCTCTGAAGCCTGAACAAGACTACTTCCATTTAATTTTTCTAATACCAACACCAGTGTACTGGGCAGTGTGCTGAGGATTACAGAGGAGTTTTTTATAGCTGTGCATGGATCCCCTTGGTAGATTTGGGGGAGGGGTACTCTATCCCTGCTGCTGCTACTCTGTGTGACTTTTAATAAGGAAAATCTTCTAACTGATACATCTACTTTGTTAACATGTGGAAGAGGCTGATGCAACATGGTATTGACAGCTGTGCTTGATCTTGTGGCTCTGAGTTAACCTTGCCTCAAGTATGAGCTATGAACCTGATTCTCCATTTTATCCCTTTCAACCAGAAGTAGGGGGATATCTGTGTGGAAGTGGTTGATGATTACATATTATTATTATCAATGAGGAAATGATGAAAGTTTGTAGAATTATGACACTTAAGTATTTGGAGTTTTGCAAATCTTGGCATATCAGATTTCTAAAATTTGTAGCTTTTAGACACTTAAATCTGCATATGTGCTTGCTAGTACATCTGGGTTCTGTAGCGTCACAAATAAAGTCATGTTTCCTGCCTTTAACTGTATCCTTAGAGGGGATGGCCCTTATAGCAAATCTTTCATAATTAGCAGGTGCTCAGTAAATACTGATGGTAAACTGAAGGTAATTATTGAGATCCATTGACTGACAACCCTGTAGGAGGCAGGACCTGGTCCCTGTCCCCAGGCAATCCCAGTGTGAGGGGAGATCACGGCTCTTGAGCTGAGGAACCCCCAATCTGATAGAAGCCTGCTTATCACAATCTTTAAGTACCTAAATCTTCATATTTGCATTCTCATGAAAGAGTGTTGACAACCTACCTGAGGAAAAAAGGGCAATGGATGGCTTGTAAAGAATAAAATGGACACAGGGCAGGGGTTCAGGAGCACTGGCAAGTCAGGCATAGACCTTGCAAGCCCTTGGTGTTGTTTATATTTAATGGGAAAAGTTTTCTCTTAGTCACAGACCAAGAGGCATCTCAGAGCCCCAGACACCCCCCTGGGTTGCCATTTGTCTCCTCTCTCCAGCCCTCCTGGTCAGCAGTTTCTGTTACTTAGAGATTGGGCAGAAGGACAGCTCCTAACTGCTGGAATTCCTTCTCCAGGAAACTTCCCTGGGTTCATCCCAACCACTGTTTCCATCTCTCTTGCCACTTTTCCTTTTCAAGGTCTTAAGGAATGATTGTACCTTTACAGCCTGCTAGTGACACAACCAGAAGCTTTGTCCCCTTTGTCAAGTTACAACTGACAAACCTTGAGATCAGGGTCTCCTTTAGTTCTTGATGGCCCACTGGGACCTTCTCAGGATGTGTTTACTCTCGAGATGTATGTCTTTCAGGTGCTCCTGGAGCTCATACTTGCAGGGAGAAGGAGGACCGCAGCTGAGATGTTCTGCATTCCCAAGGAACTTGTAGCATGTGGGGTGAGCCATGCACCTGGGGACTTCCTGTCTGGATAGACTCTTGGGTTTATGGACCGCTGTCATGTGTCTTATTCATGTCTCACAATGGTCCTGTGTGCTCAGGGATATGTTATCCTCATTCCCCAGCTGAGGAAGTGCCTCATGGAGGCCAATACAATTGATTAAATTCCCAAAGCCAGGATTTGCACTCAGTTCTTTTGATTCTAAATCTTGTGTTCTTTCTAAGCACTACATAGCTCTTCTTTTGGATCAATGTGGGCAGAACAAGGGGATTGCACCCACTCTCCTTCCAAGTCAGGCTCAGGTTTGTGCCCTCTGGGAAGGAGGGGACAGAGGAACCTCACATGGGCTCTCCTAGCTCCCCAGGGACTCATGTATGCATTGGTGGATGGCAGCAGCTAGATGGACAGTGGAGATCACCCAGTCAGCTTCTGTCATTTGTAGAGGTAGATGACAAACCCAAAGCCCAGAGAGGCTAACCCACTTCCCAAGGCCACACAGAAGGGCCAAGAGCAGAACCTGGGTCTTTCTTCCCAGCTCAGTACTCCTGCTGCAGATCCAAGTTGTGACTGTCTGCTTTCTCCTGACAAGAGTACCTCCAGGTGTTGGCAGTGAGACCAGAGAGTTGTTAAAATGACAGTAAAAGTCCTTCAGAGCTGAGCAGACACGCTCGAGGAAGCTGCTGGGCCTGGGTGCTCTAGCCTCTGGGCCTGGAAGTTAACTGCTGATGTCATGAAGCCCTTTCACAGGTGGGTAGCTGCTCTGTAGCCTGAGGGCTCAGCGCCTACTTCCTGGGCTTACACATGAAGTTTATAGCAGGGAGGTGCAGTGAGCAGCATTTGTGGGCCCGATCTCCTGCCCTGAGATGGGCAATGTCCCTTGACCCCTCTAAGGACTTTCATACATGGTGGTGATAGCAGGTCCAAGCATGTTGGCTCTTTGACCACCTTCTCCACGGGTGTCTGTGGGTGGATAACCTAGGTGGTTTTAACTGAATCCCAAGTCAAATGGAATCTTGGAAATCAATATGACGCAGAGGGAAAAGCAAAAGCATTTCAAATCCATGGCCTTAAAGGCTTTTTGGCCTAAAGGTTTAATCCTAGTTTTCCCCTTTGTTTAAATTATTTTTTATTGAAACACAGCTGCTTTACAATGTTGTGTTATTGTCTACTGTACAGCAAAGTGAATCAGATATGTAGATAAATATATATATGTATATATCTCCTCTTTTTTGGATTTTCTTCCCTTTTAGTTCAACATAGAGCATTGGGTAGAGTTCCCTTTTCTGTGCAGTAGGTTCTCATTAGTTATCTATCTTATTCACAGTAGTGTGTATATGTCAGTCCCAATCTTCCAGTTCATCCTCCTGACCCTTTGGTATCCATATGTTTATTCTCTATGTCTGTTGTCTCCATTTCTGCTTTGCAGATAAAATCATCTATACCATTTTTCTAGATTCCACATCCATATGTTAATATATGGTATATGTTTTTCTCTTTCTGACTTACTTCACTCTGTATAACAGTCTCTAGGTCCATCCATGTCTCTACAAATGACCCAATTTTGTTCCTTTTTGTGGCTGAGAAATATTCCATTGTATATTTGGACCACATCTTCTTTGTCCATTTAATCCCAGTTTTTCAGGCATGTGCTGCTTTAGGTGACCATGCCAAGGCACTTCTTTTCTGGGGGTCGTTGAAAAGCAGGGCAAGGCGAGTGCTCCCTCCACTTTTGTTTTGAATCCTCTTTGGTACTGATATGCTACTTTCAGAAATTGCCTCGTCTGCCCTGGGTTTTGGGTGTAACTTCTCTCTTACTTACAAACTGTACATAGGATTTGCTACTGTAGATCAGAATCTAGATCCAGTCTCTGTCTTGGCCAGGAAAGCTTGTTCCTCAGACTTTCTGGCTATTCTTAATTTTTATTCATTCTTACAATGATACTCTTTATTTTAATAGCTGAGCTTGTTGAAATCAGGTGGATGACTTGGGGCAAATCTTCTAACTGCCTACAGAGTAGAAAATGATCAGTTTGGTTGGAGAGTCTCTAGTGACTTCTTTCTTTTGTTTCATCCATGTGCTCAGAGAATCCCAAGGTGAGAGACTCTAGGACCATTGTTCTCATCTGTGTAGGTTCTCAGGGTCTTTCCTTCTGCACTATGAGCACCATCCAGGCACGATCAGATCCTCCTAAATCTCCAAATCTCCAGAGGGCTGGGCCTCAGTGTGAATATTTGATAAATATTTGATCAACCAAGAAGATGATACCAGGGCTATTATAATCTGATTTATTTTTCCATGGAAAGTAGCTTATATAAATTGGCCATGGCAAACTGCCTCTCCCTTGCCATCCTTCATCTTCCATCCAAGGCACCTCATTGCCCCATTGTCTTCTGCTTCTTATTTTTCAGAATCTCCCTTGGATCATGACTTCCAGAGATCCTGACCACCTATGATCCAGCGGTCAGCTTTCTGGCTGGACCTGAAGCAGCGCCAGGTGACCTGTGAGGTTTGCAGTCTCTGATCTGTTCTGAAGGGTAGGGATCAGAAACTTTTCCGAGGACTTGGGATCAGGGAGGACCTGTGCTCTAAACCTGGGCCAACCACCAGTGACTTGACTTGGGGTCAGGGAGAGCCTGTGCTCTAAACCGGGCCAACCACCAATGACTTGTGAGTCTGGGCCACGCACTGTCCCCCAGACCTGTTTCTTCATTCATAAGGTCAGTCTGACTTAGTCCTGTCCTGGTTGCCTTTCGGGCAACCTCTCCTTCCCCCACCCCTGGCCAAGTCCACTCTTTGGACAGAGAGGAGGGAAAGATGAGGAGGGTCAGAGGCAGTGATAGGAAAAAAACTAGATGGAATGACAAGAGTCACAGGCCTCTTGGAAAAGAGCATAGAAACTCTCATAGCTCCCTTTATGCCAGCCTTAGGCTCAAGTCAGAGGCATTTTGGGAACTTTTGTCCCCCAAGAGCATTTCGGCTCCTGAGCTGACTATGGAGGAGGAGGAAGAGGGACAGCAGGAGGGCTGGGTGAGGAAAGTTGGCCTGTGTGATGAGTAACATTTGCACCGTATCATTACCCAAGGTGGATGTAATTACACTGGATTAAGAAAGGCATGTGAACACACTGCGTTGCTTTAGAACCTCCTGCAATTAACATCTGTTCTCTTGGGTCTCAGAGGAAGGATTAATTTGGCTCCTGAATGTTCCTTTACTGTGAATCCCTTGNGGCTTCTGGGTCACCATTCCCTTGGGAACATGTGATCTGAAGCAACATCTTTTAATGTGTGTGTGAGAGGATATGGGTGGGGAGGGAGAGGAGTATGCATTTGGGAAAAAAGTCACCAGTGTAATGGGAGCTGAGCACCGGAGGGGGCCAAGGGAGGCAGAGAAGAGAAGCAGCTGGAAACTTCTTCTTGGAAGAGGTAAGTTTCGTGTTAGGATTGGGAAACAGTGAAAACCGTAGATAGGTTTCTCCAGATCTAGGCTTTGGGTCTCGTCTTGCCTTTCTGTGTATGTGTATACGTGTGATAACGTGTACACAAGTCTGCATGTGTCTGTCTGCTCGCCCCGTGCCTGACTCTTTCTTGTAGAACCTGTTCCCTCTCTCCTTGGACAGGATTGTGGGCACTCCTTCTTGGCCTTGAGATTGCTCTCGACCCTCACTTGTTAACCAGCTTTCAGTGTCCGTGACAACAGTATTGTGTGTGTGGGACTGACCCACATCTTGCATCACAACCTGTTTCTCTAGCCATGGCAGTGGATTTGCTCTATTATGTCATGCTTCTGCTCAAAATCTTCAGTGTCCCCACATCGGGATGAAGCCTAGGTTTCTTAGTTCAAAGGGCCTTTTGTGGTTCAGTTTCTGTTCAACTCTGACTGTTCCCCTCATACTCATAACCTAGTCACTTCAGTCGTGTCTGACTCTTTGCAACCCCATGGACTGTAGCCTTCCAGGCTCCTTGACCATGGGATTTTCCCTGCAAGAATATTGGAGTGGGTTGCCATGTCCCCCTCCAGGGGACTGTTCCCCTAGAGAAGCATTTTGCTCCAGAGGAGCAAATGCTATGTTTGTATTTTTTTCTGAGATTTTCCCTGCACCTGTGAATGCCCCCTTTCCTCAATGTGCCAAACTTCTATTTTCCTTTCAACATTCGATTACATAGCACTCCTCCAGGAAACCTTTCCCAGCACCCCAGTCTGATGGCAAGAGCACTTTGCTTTGTAGGACACCCTGTCTCCCACTAGACTGAGGTCTCTTTGAAGGGGGTACCAGATCTTGATCACTGTCCTGCATATCAAGCATTCAGCACAATGTTTGGCACAGTCCACAGGGAATGCGTGTAGAATGGATGGATAAATGAATGAATTGCTCTTCATCTGCCCACTCCTGGAATTGTCAGTGATCCGGATAGTAGCTGTTTTAGCCTGGGTGGGGTGGATATTAAGTCTTCGTCCTATTTTCACCTCTCCAACAGGATTGTTTGCTCCTGCAGGTCAGGGATGGCGTTGTAGCTCTTAGTAAACCTGGAGCCTGTGGACACACTAGGCTCTGGGTCAGTGTTTATTGAGAAGAGAAGAAAAAAAGAAAAAGAATGAGGTAGAGAATGGAGGAAAGGAGAGAGAGAAGGGACCACAGGATTGTTTCAGGATTTATAACAATGCTGGTTTGTGTCTGGTCTGAATGTCTTTCTCTCTCTATCCAAATTTGGGTTCTTTGATCTAATTCTGGCAACTCCAAGAAATTACATAAGGCACCTAAAGGGGGAGATAATTGAGATTAGATAGTTTTAGAAGTTTTAAAGTGAATGCCAGGATAAGCTTTTGAATTATTGTGTGATTTCATTATCAATATGGTTAATACATATTAACCTACAAGTACCCATCCTTATAGGTTAATATACTCAAGTGTGGATGTGAGATAAGTACAAATGTGAGAGCTGGTCTATAAAAAAGGCCGAGCACTGAAGAATTGATGCTTTCGAATTGTGGTATTGGAGGAGACTCTTGGAAGTCTCTTGGACTGCAAGGAAATCAAATATTTAATCCTAAAGGAAATAAATCAACCTTGAATATTTATTGGAAAGTCTGTTGCTGAAGCTGAAGTTCCAATACTTTGGCCACTTGATGTGAAAAACCGACTCACTAGAAAAGATCCTGATGCTGGGAAAGATTGAAGGCAAAAGGAGAAGACGGTGGCAGAGGAAGAGATGGTTAGAGGGGGTCACTGACTCAATGGACATGATTTTGAGCACGGGCTTAAGCAAAAGGTCGGACACGACTTAGCGACTGAACAATAACACCACCACTCATCTTTTCTCTTAGAGATAAAATTCTTTCTCCTTCTCTTCCCTTCCTCTTTCCAAACAGGGTAGAGAGAATAATGAGCATCTGACTGAAGTATGGGATGTTACTCAAGATTACAGAAGGCACTATGGATGCAAGATAGACACCAGAAGAAAATCTCTTTTTGTGGAAGAAAGTAGTATTTTTCCTATGGGAAGAGGTGAGGTGGTAAGTAGGTGAGTCCTGGGGAAGGAGAGAGAGACCAACAGGAAAGAGATTCTAACAGGATTATGAGTCAAAGCAAGAATACTCAATTTCTGTGCCATAAAATCTGCCAATAGAATTAAAAGAATAATTCAAGAATGTGAAAATACTTGCTTGATTTCTGCTTAAATTGATGAAAAGATTAGCTTATTGTTAGTTAACAGGATAAAATGTTGAGATTGGCTTGAACAACTAGCCTGACTGAACTTAGCTGAGAACAACTAGAAAAACTGGCCAAAGTATAAAAAGGCTTGTGTTTGAAGGCACTGGAGAGCTTCCAAGGCAGTGAAGATTTTAGAACCAAGATCATGGAGAGAAAGAAAGCAAAGTGAGTCCTGTATGCTGTGCCACTTTTCCACTGGGAAATTTAGAAATTAAAGCACCAGCTGAGAATCTGATCAGAAAGTGGCGGCTAGGAGACTGAGAAGATGAACAGTCTTTAAGTTTTATCACAGAACTTGAGGGACAAACATTGGAATTCACAAAGCCAGACACCAGAGTCTATTCTGTATGTTTTCATGGCATGACTAAACTAAGATGTTGCAAGAAAAGTTTTTCTATTTGATGAATAGGGTGGAGATAGTGATATGGAAGCCTGAGAGCAGCTTTTGTTATGTTGGTGATATTTTACTTTTTGATCTATAGGCTGCATTACAAAAATATGTTCATGCTGTGATAATTCAATAAGTTTTACAGTTAAGGTTTATATACTTTTATGTAAATACATTAACCTTGTCCTGAGTGTATTAAAAATAAGATCAATGATATAAAATTTGACTGTCAAAATATTTATATATATATTAATATCTGATTAAATTATTCATGTATTTACTTGCTCTCTATGATTCATTATGATGTTTAACTCCTTATAATCCCCACTGGATCCTATGTGGATTACAGAAGAGTTACATACAGTGAGGTATGCTTGCCACTGCTGAATCACATGTTCTCCTTATTTTAGTAGCTATGCACTACAGTTTTTTTCTCTTAGGAAAATACTGAAGTTTGTGTGTTTGGATCCTGAGTTCTTTTCTTATTAATCTTGGAATTTTAGGTAAGTCACTTGACTTTACCTTAAAACAAGATATAAAATAACACCAACCTCACAATTATTGGATTAGCATATGAGAAAGCCAAATTCCAACCCTAGACCATGAATGAATTTTATTTTTTAAACTTTTTATTGGAGTATAATTGACTTAGCCTTCTTCAGTGGCTCAGTGGTAAAGAATCTGCCTGCAATTCAGCAGACACAGGAAACATGGATTGGATCCCTGGGTCGGGAAGATCCTCTGGAGGAAATGGCAACCCGCTCCAGCATTCTTGCTTGGGAAAATCCCATGGACAGAGGAGCCTGGCGGGCCACAGTTCATAGGGTTGTAGAGTCAAACATGACTGAGCGCACACATACGTACACTTGGTTGATTTACAGTGCTGTGTTAGTTTCAGATTTACAGCAAAGTAAATCAGCTATATATATACATATATTCACTCTCTTCTAGTGGAGAAGGAAATAGCAACCACCTCCAGTATTCTTGCCTGGAAAAATCCCATGGTCAAAGCAGTCTGGTGGGCTATAGTCCACAGGGTCACAGGAGTCGGACATGACTTGGTGACTAAACCACTCTTTTTTAGATGCTTTCCCCATGTAGGCCATTATAGAGTATTGAGTAGAATTCTGTGTGCATTTTTATTTTTTAAAATTAGAAACATTTTTCTTTAGATCTTTATATCATACCTAGTACCTTATGCAAGTCTATAGGAGAGTTTTTCTTTCTTTTTTTTTCATTTATTTTTATTAGTTGGAGGCTAATTACTTTACAATATTGTAGTGGTTTTTGCCATACATTGACATTCTATTTCAGATCTGGTTTTATAGGAGAGTTTTTCATTCGCAGTTGGATGTTTACCTCCAGTTTCTGAATTTCAGAGTCCCTGAGGTCAATGATACATTTCACTTGGAATTATCTTCCTCCAGGAAATATGAGAGTGAACATTCTTAATTGGGAGGAAGGATTAGGAAATGCAATCTGGGAATATAAACCACTCAACTGAGTGCTTGCAAAGGAAAAGCAAGAGAAGAAGTACTTTCCCTCCCCATCCCCATCTCTCCCTTGAAAAAATGACTTACGTTTGAAGAGTGTGGGAAGAGGTAGGAAATATTTACTATACAGGTGTAAATCTATAACTGGGTGATAATTTGCAGAGAATAAAGAAAATGCTATTTAACTGTTATTTCTGACCTTCAAAAAGATCTTACTGAGCTTAATATTTTCATTTATATGCTAATATGGATAGATTGTCAAACTAAAATTTTATTTTAATCATTTCTTCATGCCAGGAGTAGAATGCATGAAAGTGATATTTTGTAACACTTGATATATTTTCCAGAAATGTTTATAGCTATGTACTACTTTTAATGTGTATTAGAACAAACACTACAGATTTATGACTTTTATGTATATTATTATGGATATCCATATAGTCAATACTATGTTTTTTCCAGTAGTCATGTATGGATGTGAGAGTTGGACCAAAAAGAAAACTGAGCACCAAAGCATTGATGCTTTTGAATTGTGGTGTTGGAGAAGACTCTTGAGAGCCCCTTGGACTGCAACAAGATCCAGCCAGTCAATCCTAAAGGAAATCAGTCCTGAATATTCATTGGAAGGATTGATGCTGAAGCTGAAACTCCAATACTTTGGCCACCTGATTTGACTGACTCATTTGAAAAGACCCTGATGCTGGGAAAGATTGAAGGCGGGAGGAGAAGGGGATGACAGAGGATGAGTTGGTTCAATGGCATCACCGACTTGATGGACATGAGTTTGAGTAAACTCAGGGAGTTGGTGATAGACAGGGAAGCCTGGCATGCTGAGTCCATGGGGTTGCAAAGAGTTGGACATGACTGAGCAACTGAGCTGAACTGAAGGTAACTAGATCTCACATGCCACAAGGGAAGATGGGGTGCAAAAGGAGAAGTAGGTGGCAAAGGATGAGGTTGTTAGTATCACTGACTTAATGGATATGAGTTTGAGCACGCTCTGGGAGATGGTGAAGGACAGGGTAGCCTGGCATACTGTAGTCCATGGGGTCACAAGAAGTAAGACACAACTGAGTGACTGAACAACAACAGTGGATATTATTGCTTAGAATAATCTTTTTTTTTAATTTTAATAAACTTAATTACATAATGGTATATGATTAGCTGTGCATTACTGGAAAACTATACATTATGTTTCACTTCTAAAAAATGAAAGATTTTATGGAGATTTGTATCATTTTCTAAATAAAGATGTAGAATGAATGAAAAAAAAAGAATGAGGAAAGAGAAAGCAATATGCAATCATATACCTTTTCAAATAAATTTGGCTAAGTAAACACAGTGAGTCAATCTAGAGAAAAGTATTAATAATACAGATGATGCAGGGATATGGGAAAACCTATGAAGGAGGTATGTAAATTACTGAGGTTTCAGAGACCCTAGACTACTATGTGGACCCTACTGTCTCCATTTGGAGGGTTCCAGACATCCTCCTGGGTTATACAGACTGCTCTGTAGAAGTCTGGTCCCCATGTTTAGTTAAGGACAGAGGGAAGGGTCAGAAGTGTGAGGGCAAGTCCACCTCTCTCTCTCCTCAACCTGAGGGAGATGCAGATTCAGGAGCATCTGTTTTTGGAGGCAGGTCAGAGACACACCGTGAAGTGGGCTGCATATCCTCTGGGACACTAGTCCTACTGCGAGTGCCCCAGCTTCTTCTGTTCTGCCTCCAACTCATTCTCAAAAATGTGTTGTGATGAGACCCTGGGGACTGAATCAGTGTCAGGAAATGTGAGGCAGCCTCCCAGTGTCATCACTAGCTGGTTGTGGGACCACATGTAATGTGACTGAATCTCTCTGTCTCCTCGTGTGTAAAATGGTTTTGCTCTGCCTGTGTTTTGTGGATGTTGTGAGGATTAAAAAAGATCTATTATTCCGGAAAGCTTAGAAAATAGTGTTTGATTAAATGTTTGTTGAATTCAAGAAAAGATTGTACAATTCATTTAAATCAAAGTATAGACATCTGATAGTAATTTAAATGGGTCTTCATTGGGGCACACAGTTTATTAGGATCAGAATTATAGTGGAAAGGATGACGCTCTTATGGTGAAATGTCAGGAGTCCTTGAGAGGATGACAGTGGAAAAGAGACCAGGGGAAATCTTTCTGGGCAGATTTTCTCCATGGGTTTACCTTTCTCAGGGTTGGAGGTTTGACTAGCTGGTCCCTTTGCCCACTTCTTTCCCAAGTTCTTCTCTGAGTCACTTATTTAGTACTGAATACTATTATTACCAATCATAGCAACTGCTGTTTGTTGAGCACATACTATGTGAAAGACACTGTGTTAAATACTCTAGTGTTTATTAATTTAAACCTCACCACACCCTGACAGACTATTACCCACATTCTACTGATGACAAAAGTCAGGTCTGAGGAGCATAAAGGCTTTGCTCAAGGTCATACACTCTGAAGTAACTGAGCAGGATTATAGGCAGGTCTGTCTGACTCCAAAACTCAAGCTTTTCAAACTCTTTCATCCTGTGTGACATAATTCTGCATCAACATCTAGCATCAGCTAATATTTTCTGAGAGCTGTCCAGTTGTCTCATATTGCTCTAAACAGGGACAAAATACACACACACAAATCTCCTTTCAGGCCAAGATGTCTGAGCATCCCAGAAAACAAGCTGGAATTCAGACTGACTTATTAAGCTTCCATGATAAGATCGGTAAAACTACTGTGGCTCCCTCCAGTAGGGGATGTCCAGGCTCTTGGACCCCAAGTCAACCTGGCTTTGGGTTGGATGGAAAAGAGGTTCTCAGCCAAGTCAGATATTACCCTTTCCATAAAGCCTCTTCTAACACTAGGTGCCCCTTTTCTGAACCCCTAGAATATTCTGAGCTTATGATTATTATTTAAAAAATCATCTTCTATATTGTGTTTACACTGTATATTAATATCTGTCTCCCTTGTTGGACTGAGATTTCCTTGAGGGTAGAACTGAAACTTGATCACTGAACCTCTAGTACTTAGCCCAGTGTCTGTCATATAGTGGTGCCCTGTAGATGTGAGTTAAACAAAATGAGGGAAACATCATAGCCAATGTGATTGAACCCCTACAGGGAGCAAGTAATCAGAATTTGGAGAGAATAAAGTATAAAAGGAAAGAGTAATAATTTTAGGAGATTCTTGTAATTTGTGGCCTGAGGAGGATGTTATTTCATCAGAAAATGAGCCTGTCCTGGTGAGTAGGTCATCCAGTCCTGGTTGGGAGCCTTTAGGGGCACCACTAACTTCAGCATCATTATCATCACCACTTAAGATTTGGCTACAGAAAAACATATGGAAGCCACACTTCATCCTGAGCCTTGCTTAAGCAACTAAGCCTGTGTGCCACAACTATTGAGCCCAAGCTCTAGAGCTGCAACTACTGAAATCTGCACACCTAGAGACTATGCTCGGAAACAAGAAGCCACTGCAATGAGAAGCCTTCGCAAAACAACCAAGAGTAGCCGCCGCTCCCTGCAACTAGAGAAAGCCAGAGCAAAGCAACGAAGATCCAGTGCAACCAAAAATACAATGAATAAAAATTGTTAGGAAAAAAACCCAAAACTGCTGTTCATTATGCCTAAACCCCCAATGACTCAAACGTGAGACAACAGAGATGCTTCAGATGGAATTAACTGGTTCAAGTTCAACTTAATTGTTGTCTTGCTGGAATGAGTGTCAGAAATGCCAGTGAGTTCCAGAGATTCCATGGCTGTTGTGGTGGCTCTGTTTAGATAGTCTGTTATAGGCACAGTGATTTGTTATTCTTTAAAATATATTGTTTCTGACTCCCAACCCTAATTGTGCACCTTGCTGTCTGTGGCGGAACAGGCTGAGTATCCCTCTGCAGGGCTGAGTGTCTGTGGGGGTGTCGAACAGGTGTGGCTACTGGGGCCTGGCTGCCATCACTGGAATGGGGCCTCACACTCCTACTTGTTGACCTCTCCAGGTAGGAAATGACAGCTAGCAGGGCCAGGCTCTCACAGGTTTAGCCCAGGCTTGCCCAGGGTGGACTAAGAGACTCTAAGAGCCTACTTTGGCAGACTTAGCTTATTTTTCTTCCCATTCTTCTTTCTCTCGGAGGCACATGGGAAATTGTTATCATGGACAAACCAGAAATAGAATGGACAAGGGAGGCTGAGATCCGGAACAAACGTCTGTGACTGGGGAGGGATGAAAAGAGTCCTATAGACCTGTCTGGGAAGTATCATCCTAGTTGCTGCCCTCATTCCAGCTCACATACCCTTCCCTCTGCTTGTCCTAACCCAAAGGCTGCAGCAAAAATAGGGGAGGGATTTTGGTCTCATACACAGGTAATCAGCCCTAGATCTAGATTGCTTTTTGCAATGTGCCTAGTTTTAACCTAACACCTCTATTTTCATTATCTCAGCCCCATTGCCACCATGTATATCATGCCATTCTTTTCCATTGGGCATCAAGTGCCAAATACTATATGTTACCGTCTGTTACAAAAGCATCATATTACCACATCCCCAGTACTATCACTGCCACCTCTGCTCATTCTCAGCATCACCACTACTACCTCCACTAGCTTTGCTGCTTCTAGAACCTTCGCCGCTTCCACCAACAGCACCACAGTGATAAGCACTACCACTGCCAGCTCTACTCACTCTCACTATCACTACCCTTCCCACCACCTCTATCACCTTCATCATCCCCGCTGTCACCACCTCCACTGCCGCGGCCTAGATCATAGTCAGCACCTTTAGCACTACTACCGCTGTCTTCCCCACCCACAGCTCCACCACCCTCATTACCACAATCACGGCTACACCATCCGTTCTCTTATCACCACTGCCACTGCTGCTTCTCATTCTCACCACCACAGCCAGAATGGAGAAGAGAAGGCTTACGGGTTCCTGAATAGCCATGTTCAAACAATTAAAACAGAAGAACAGTTAAAGCTACTAAGTATGGGTAAAGAAGCTAGAGTTAGAAAAATGGACGGAATTAAAAGGAATTATAATGACAGTTGGGTAAATGTCAGCAAGGTTTTTCATGGACCCAGGGGAGACAATGCCTTTGACTTGTGTGGATCACAATAAATTGTGGAAAATTCTTCAAGANTGCGAAGAACTGACTCATTGGAAAAGACCCTGATGCTGGGAAAGATTGAAGGTGGGCAGAGAAGGGGATGACAGAGGATGAGATGGTTGGATGTCATCACTGACTCAATGGACATGAGTTTGGGTAAACTCCAGGAGTTGGTGATGGACAGGGAGGCCTGTTGTGCCGCAGTCCATGGGGTCACAGAAAGTCGGACATTTCTGAGCGACTGAACTGAACTGAACTGAGGGGAGACAAGCGGGCTTCCCAGGTGGCACTAGTGGTAAGGAGCCAGTCTGCCAATGCAAGAGACATAAGGAACTTGGGTTTGATCCATGAGTTGGGAAGATCCCCTGGAAGAAGGCATGGCAACCCACTCCAATATTCTTGC